TCTTTTTTTTTTACAGTGATGTAGATATTACAGATGATAAACCATGAACCAGTAATGTTGGCGGTAAGCCATCGGTCAAATGTCGCAGGACTTGCAAATATTCCTCACTACGAGAAATCTGCAAAATTTCAGCTACAAAATTTTCCACTTAAAAAATTTCCAAAAAATTCTCAGTTCGCTTCGAATATTTAAAAAATAAAACTAGGCTCAAGAATCCAAGACTGCGGGGGCAATCGGTGTGAAATACCATTTTAGTGATTTTACTGGACTATGAATTATCATTTTTTCAGGAAACCGAATAAAATCACTACTAGGAAAATTATTAACTCACTTTTCAAAAGCTTCAACTTGTATTTTATTACTTGAAGTAAGAATCAAAAAACTGTTTTTTTATAAAATCAAAAGCAAAATTACTTGAAATCGACTTAAAATCCTTACATCTTTTGGTGGAATTGGTAAATTCATTAAGCAAACGGCAGCATCGCCGCTGTGTTTCTTAACCAAGTCATTGAAGGAAGTCAAATACAGTAATGGTAAATCAACTGATTCCCTGCAATAGTTCGTAGTTATTTAAAAAAATACACTTTCGAATACAGAAATGCGGATATAAAAAGAAAAGACACTAATCTAAAAGGACTATCTGTGAAAAAGGCTCACAGCAGTTAGCCCCTAATCGCACCTTATACTGTTTACGTTTACAGCTAAGGGATGAAACACTGGCAGACCATTTCCTACATATTCCTCTCCACACGACTTTCAATATGTCATACGATTTTGCGCCACATGAACAGCCCTGCTATCTTTTCCATCATAATTTATTAAACCAACCTCAACCTAGTTTAAAATTTTCGAACTGTGGCTGTTCCATATTTTTCATGCTCCGGACCGGCTGCTTGCTTCGGAGATTACGGTTCGGCCTACCAACGGCCGAGTCGCAAATTATTTTAGCAAACTTATCCCACCCTTCGTTTTAACTTTCTGACTTCGGCCGTTTTACATTTTGATTTCTTTGGACAGTCCACTTCTTTAAGGTTACGATTCGGCCTTTTAACGGTTGCAATTTATCATCCCTCAATTTCAAAATCTTCTCAAGGGCAGTCGAGAATCTAAATTTTTTACTCACTTTGGTGGATCACATTGTCGTTCCTCAAGATAACAGACTACATGATCCCATGGCATGACCAGGGAATTCGCATTAATTCGAAGATATGTCAACATTTCCTTCAGCTGTCGTTCTCGTTTTTGCATATCCTGAAATAAAGAAAAAAAACCCCTCGAATATTTTTGCGAAATTTGATCAGCTAGCGAATACTGGTTTTTCAGTCAACTGATTTAAGTCAGGTATTACACTTTCCCATAGTTTAAATCGAAAATTCGGGCCATAATCCCGTCCTCATCCACGTCCAGTTGCTGTCTGTGTTTGCAACTGAGGGATGAAACACGGGAAGATTCGCCGCCGACGTTTAAAAGTTACTGATGCTTAAAATTTAAAAAAAAAAAAAAAAAAAAACTGAAATGTTAACATACCTGTAAGCTTGTTATACAGATGAAAACACGCAATATCGAGGAGGAGCGCCAGCGAGTACTCATCGATAATATACAAGCCATTTGGAGAAGGAAAAGTGAACTAAAATTTATAGCAAATCCGAGATAATCCATTCAAAAACTTTTTTATTTTTGAAAATACAAACTTTTTTCACTTCAACTTGGCCTTTTTTTTTTGAATTACTAAGTAAAATCATATAAATCTCGCTGTAGCAATCTTACTTAAATACTTAAATGCATCTTAAATTACCTAATCGTAAAACTGTAAAAATGAATGCACCTGTGCTAGGCCCTTCATCTCAAACTGTGCATTTTCAGTTAGTTGTTCTAATTAGATCTCGTTGGTAAAAAAGTTACTTTGCCTATTACTAACCGAGTATGTTTTTATTTCCGCCTCCCAACAAAAAATACATGAAAAATGAAAATACACTTAAATCCAAACCTGTTACCCCATCCAAGACCAGTTTCATTTGGCTTCTGCAAAAATACTGGCCAAACATCGATATACTTTTTTGGTCCACTCCAGCCTCTGAAACTGGTAAGCATCAAAGGACGAGTATTCACGAACACATATATAAGCTCACAATGCTTCCTCACCTCTCACTCTACCTCGCCTGTTAAATAAGAAATTTCGCTAAAGATGGCACTACAAACTCATCAGGAAATAATGTTTGGATGCGAAAAGTCCAAATTCGAAAATCAGTCAATTTTCGTCACACTTACCAATTTCTAGCTTGTTCCTTCAACAAAACCGAGGAAGAGTACCTTGAAAGACTTTGCAATTTTTCCTCTGCCGTGAGTCCCCTCTCAAAAACAAAAGAGTTAAGAAAGCGGAAAGTGCACACGCACAAGCACGTGCACACACACACACACACACACACACACACACACGCATACACCTACACACAGAGACAAATCGTTAAAAAAGAACAAAAAATTGGCCAACGCACGGGCTGCCCGTGCGAAGATGCGTTTTTTGCAGAGTTCCCCGCA